CAAATTTAATATTTATATTTAATATTATTTAATTAATTATTTAATTAACGTTTTAAGTAATGTAATTCAGATTTTTAATATTGATATTTATAATTATTATTTTGAAAATATTCTCCCAAATATTAAACAATTTTTAAAAATGAACACTTTAACTATTATTTATTGAATATTATTTAATTTAATTAGTTAATTAACGTTTTTAATAATTTAATTTAATTATTTAACATTAATTTTAATATTATTATCTTAAAAATATTTTCACAAATATTAAAATATTCTTTAAAACGAACATTTTTTTAAAAATTTAATATTTATATTGAATATGATTTAATTTAATTAGTTAGCATTTTTAATATTTTAATTTAATTATTTACTATTAATATTTATTATCTTAAAAATATTTTGGCAAATATTAAAATATTTTTGAAAATAAACATTTTATTTTTAAAATTTAATATTTGTGTTTAATATTATTTAATATTTAATTATTTAATTAACATTTTAAATAATTTAATTCAATTTTTAATATTAATATTTATTATTATCTTAAAAATATTTTCGCAAATATTAAAATATTTAAATGAGTGTGACGTGCGTAAGATTAGAAAATTTTGTTGTATTAATACAGTTTCCCTTATTGTAACTATTAAATTATAATATTAATTATAGCTAATTAAATTAATTAAATAGCCAGAGACCCCCCCCCCTGCATTCTAATAGCTAATTAAATTAATGAATTAAACCCTAATTTTTATAGGATTCAAACATTTAATTAAAAAGACAATTAGGAGTTTAATTCAAAAGTTTAATAAAAAAACCCAACAATATAATCTGTGTACACATAATAATAGTATATAATATATATGTTAATATATGTTATGTGATAATAAAATTAATAAAATTAATGATTTAATTAATAATAAAGTAAATACATTATAAAATATTTATACTACAATATATAATAATAAAAATTAAAAAAATTAATAATAAAATTAATACACATGATAAGATATTATATATTATAATATATAATGTAATAATAAAAATAATAAACTGATTTAATTAATTATTAATGAAATTAATACACATTAGAAAATATTATATATAACAATTAAATAAAAATAAAAATAATAAATTTAATTAATTATTAATAAAATTAATACACATTAGAAGATATTCTATATTATAATAATAATATAAAAAAACTATTTAATTATTAATAACATTAATGCACATTATAAGATACTCTATATTATATAATAATAAAAATTATAAACTTATTTAATTAATAATAAAATTAATACACAT